TCTTGCTCAGGCTGGTCTCGAACTCCTGACCTTGAGCGATCCACCTGCCTCGGCCTCCCAGAGTGCTAGGATTACAGGCGTGAGCCAACACGCCCGGCCCTAATAATTTTTTTAAATGCTCTTATTTAGAAAGTACTTTATCTGCACCAGGCTGGGTCCTGAGTGTTTATTTGTTTGTTTTGAGACAGGGTCTCGCTCTGTTGCCCAGGCTGGAGTGCAGTGACACAATCACGGCTCACTGCAGCGCCAACTCCTGGGCTCAAGTGATCCTCCTGCCTCAGCCTCCCGAGTAGCTGGGACTATATGTGAGCACCACCATGATTGGCTGATTTTTCTATTTTTTTGGAGAGGCAGAGTCTCACTATGTTGTTCTGGCTCTAGTTCTTTTTTTTTTTTTTAAGTCTATTTTAGCTGGGCATGGTGGCTCATGCCTATAGTCCTAGCACTCTTGGAGGCCAAGGCAGGAGGATTGTTTGAGCTCAGGAGTTCGAGACCAGCCTGAGCAAGAGCGAGACCCCATCTCTACTAAAAATAGAAAAAATTAGTCAGGTGTGGTGGCACGCGCCTGTGGTCCCAGCTTCTTGGGAGGCTGAGGCAGGAGGATTGCTTGAGCCCAGGAGTTTGAGGTTGCTGTGAGCTAGGCTGATGCCACGGCACTCTGCTCAGAGCAACGGAATGAGACTCTGTCGCAAAAAAAAAGCGCCTATTTTAACTCATTTATTCCTAAAACATCTGCAGCATTGTTAAGATTCCCATTTTACAGAGAAGGAAACTGAGGCACAGGGGACTCTCACAGCTAACAGGTGGCCCAGCCGAGGTCTGCAGGCAGGCAGGGAGCCCCCTAGGCTCTCCGCATGGCCAGGGAGAAAGTCTCTACTGGGTACTAACATGGCTTTAGCGCCTCCGTGACCCTGAGCTTTCTAGCGGGTGACTGTATCCCGCTAGAATTCAAAGCCTTGGTTTAGAGTTTCTTATATTCATATTTATTTTTAGGTTTCCCTAGTATTTGGGGTGATGAGAAGGGTTTTTCAAGGAGGCCGCTGTAATCAGTGTCTTGTTTTCACACGAATGGA